ACGAACTGCCGATGGGCAGCCAGATGGCGACTGGCGCCCTTCACAACTAAGATTGAAGAACAACAACTTGGCTAGTCCCCCTCCCCAATTCCCCAACACTGTTCGTCTCCCCCATTTCCCCAGTTAAAAAAAAAAAAGAAGTAACAGAATAAATGTGATAGTTGAATCTATATTGGTAAATATGATTTTTCCAGAAAGAAAATGTAGAATGAGAAGAGGCAAGTGTTTAAAATGGAATTCAGAGGTTCTCTAACTTGAAAAAGGAAGGGGTGATGTGCAGAGTTTCCCAAGCCACCTTCAAACTCGGCAATTTCTTAGCAGAACTCACAGGATTCAGTATATAGTCATATTCATAACTGTGATTTATTTTAGTGAAATATATAAAGCAAAATCAGCTAAGGAAAAAGAGGTCAAGTCCAGAGGAAACAAAGTGCAAGCTTCCAGTGGTCCTTTCCTAGTGGAGTCACACAGTGCAAGTTGATGTTGTCTGCCAGGGAGGCTCATTAGAGACTCGGCACATTGTTTTTACTGTAGACTTATCACATAGGCACCCCCAGCCTGACACATACCAAAATTCTTGGTTTCTAGAAGGAAAGTAGGTGTTCAGCGTAAAACATATTGTTTGTACAAACGGTTTAGGCATAGTGAGCCATCCCCTTCAGTGGGAACCCTGCTGAAATCTAAGTTCCCAGACACAAGCCAGAGGCAACCCTTGTAAGCCGGCTTTTCAAGTGATAGCTATGTTAACTCTTTTCTGCACAGTGAGGTAGGGGAAAAGGTAAGACAGAGCACTTCTTTATTATATTTTAAAACAATAACAAAAAATGTAGTAGATAGGTTTTATTTTGCAGTACACAGATAGATCCCAGTAAAAGAAAGGCTCCAGTATTTCCTTTTCTGTTACCGGATGTATCCTGTGTGTCCTATAGTCCTTATTCTTCTGATAATGATAAGAAAGACATTTTAGTATACTGTTAGAACATATTCTTTCCCTTAATAGAAATATTCTTAGTGTCACATCCTATCTTCTTAGGTATACAAATATAGTATTTTCTATGCTTTTTAAAATTCCTATAATCATTGTGCTTTTCTCTTTTAGACTTGGTAATAATTTTATGTTTCACTCCTAACTTTGTTTTTGTGGAGGCAGATACATATGTTGTCTTTATGCATATGGGGATTTGGGGGAAAATATGTTATATAGATGATTTAGAAGCTATAGAATGTAGGGGAAGAATAATGGAAGTGTCTACTGTGTAGCACCCTGGCATTCACAGTCCTGATGACTAATGCTCAAAAGTTTGTCCATTTTGCAACTATAAAACAATTTTATCATGTATTATGATCTTTTTTAAAGGATCAATTGAAGACAAACACTTCTGGTGTTTTATACTTTTGCTTGTAGCTCTTTGAAATTTACTGGATATACAATTACGTTTTACTCATTTAAAACATACATAATCAAACTGGAACCATATTAGAATTATGAATGTGAAGCTGTTCAGCATTACTACCTTTCCTTAAAGTGTGTTTTCATTATTAACTAAGTAAAAGTCTTCCCAGAGTTCCAACAGACTTTGGCTCACATCTCATTGGTCAGAACTATAGCACATGGTCATCTCTAGGTATAAAGGAGGCTGGGAAAGCAGGCATGTATCCTAGGACTGATCACTTACTGCTGTAAATAAGACTGTGGTTCTGTTAGTATAGAGGTGGTTAAGTAATAGCAGTCAGAATTGATTCAGGAGATGGAAACTGCCAGTAATTTGAATAGATAAAATTTATACACAAATAATTATTAACTAGGTTAAAGGTGATTCACTACTAAATGAGGTAAAAGACAATTCTATGATTGTAACAGAGATAGCAGTTGCAGGATGTGATAAGCAGGAACTTAGAAACCTAGAGGAGGATCCTGAAGACCGAGAATGAAACCTCTGGGGAGAGGATGCCACGGCTGCAGGAACACATTGCCTGCTGTGCTGTGTATTGAAGAAATTTGGTGGGAGACACCAACCTGGGAACTAGGAGAGCCACCATTGCTGTGGTGAATGCTGTTACGACTGTCCCTTACCTCTGAGCCACAAGATTCACATCTGTGAGCCGCCAGGAAAACAAACAGGAAGAAGAAAGGTCCCTGCTAACTCCTCAGCCTAGCAGACTGCTTCCTGTACCTCGTTGTCAGAGCCCAGCCACAAGCTGCCTGGTAAAGGAGAAATGAAGTTTGAAGAGTCAAGCTCCATTATACAAAATGTGGCAAATATGGTGGTTTTCGATGGAGCTGTGAGGCAATAAATTAATAAAGGCTTGGGTAGGTTACTAACAAACCTGCCACAATAATTGAGCTCTAAAACAATAAGTCAGACTCACCTTGGGAAAAAAATCCTTAGTATCAATAGGTTTCTTGAGTAATCACTAGTATTTGAAGTGGCTACTTTATAATAATAAATGAAAATAGGTGTAATGTTTACTTGGAAACGCTATATATACTTATGTACTTTTTGTATTATCAGCTAATATGAGATATTTTATTAATGGTCCATAGTTTGGGGAATATACAGAGTTATAATCGTTTAGTGCTTTTGTTTGTTCTTTATTTTAGGATCCTTACCTTGACAAGTTTTTTGCTCTGGTCAATGCTCTGGATGAACACATGTTCCCGGTCCGAATTGGAGACATGCGAATCATGGAAAATAACTTAGAAAATGAATTGAAGAGCAGCATTTCAGCATTGAATTCTTCTCAGTTGGAACCAGTGGTCCGATTTCTTCATCTTCTGCTTGATAAACTAATACTTTTAGTTGTTAGACCTCCTGTCATTGCTGGCCAAATAGGTAATTTACTTATGTTTGGGGAATCATAAAATTTATAATTTGGCATTCCTAACTTTTTCAGAAGTAGAACCATGATTCCTATTTGCTGTCTGTAAGGACTGTGATTGATTTTGGAGGGGACTGTTATTTACTTGTTTCTGATGCCAGAAAATGATGACTTTATTTTGTTTGTTTTTTTGTAAATGTGCCATATGGTCTTCTTCTCAGATTATGGAAACAAACTAATTTATTCATTCACCAAGTATTTATTAAGCACTATTAGGTATCCAGACACTGCTAGCCACTGTCCAACTCAGAGTTCCCGATTTTAAGGATCTCACAGACTAGTTAGGAAAACAGGCAAACAGATAAATAATTTTGCATTTTACATGACAAGTAATCTATCTAGTCTATATTTTCACTCATCAGCTAGCCTCTATTTTATATAGCTTTTTTTCCTTCATTAACTCAAAATCTATATATTTTTTTTCTTTTGTGTTGTTCTAGATAGAGAGGTATTCCTGTTTCCCATCCTTTTTCCAAGATTTATTCCTGTACTTTTTTGCTAACAGCTTCCACCTAAATCCTGCCAAGTAGTTGAGCTTGTATGAAATTTCAGCTAATGTGTTACAGAAATTTTGTGTTAAGTGGGAGAGGAGTATGGAATGCCTTAGGATATTTTTAGGGGAGACTTTAAGTAGAGGTAGTTCATGGGTCGAACATTTAAAGATGAGTAGGAGCCTAGAATGATAAATAACTAGTCCAGGGAGATGAAGCAGCATGTGTATAATATGCAGTCGCACCTGGAAATGTTGGGGGAATTAGAAATAATTAATTATAAATTGGAGGGTTGGTGGTTGGAGATGATAGGTAGTGGGGGAGTTGGAATGTTCATGACATTTCACGAAATTGAAGGGGGTTTGGACTTAATTAGGGAAGTAACTTGACCCAGTTTGGCTTTTATAAAGATGATTGTACTGCATGGAAATGGGTTGAAATCTGGAGGAAGGAAGACAAATTAGGAATTGTGTACAATTTTATACAAAAACTATGAGGTCCTGATAAGAGATGGGTGACAGCGGGATGGAGAAAAAAGGGTGGTGGGTTAAGAGCTATTGAAGAGACATTGTAGAATACCATTACAGAAGTCATAGGAAAAGATTTTAAGAAAAAAAAAGTAAGTGTTCATCATTGTAGATTGTATAAGTAAAATAATAACCATAGTAACAAACATTTGCATAGCGTTTACTGTGTACCAGGAATAGTGTTACGTGCTTTATTTATATTAATGTATGAAATCCTCAGAACAACTCTGTGTGTGGGTATCATTAGCGCCACCATTTTATGAATGAGTAAAGTGATGAACATAATGCTTAAAAAAATTTGCCTATTTAAACCCAAGCAGTGACTCCAGAGTCCCACTCTTATCTATTGTACTTAAGAAGTGTCCACTGGTGAAATTAACTAGAATAGTTTTAGTCAAATAGTGAAAGTAGAAGCCAGATTATAGAGAATTAAGCAGTGAACAGTAGATGATGAAAGGAATACAAAATGCATGTACTGTTCTTTAAAGATATTTAGTTATACGAGGAAGCAGGGTTGATTAGGGTATAAGAATGGAGAGATTTGAGCATGTTTATATGCTTTGAGAAACTAGTTGCGGTGCGGGGGCGAGGAGAAACATTGAAGATACAGGAGTGTGAGAGAGTTTATTAATGAAGCAATCTTGTAAGGTAAAAGTGAAGTTGGATAGACCACTCTTATGTAGAGACAAGCACTGCTTGCTTTGGAAAGAAAATAAAAATGCCTTCATATTCTGATAAATTTGTGGTAAAAACTTGAGGACTTTCATGCTTTGTACATTTCTTCTGAGAAATAGAAAGCAATATTGCTGATAAGGGAGTAGGTGGACCTGAGTTTTGAAGAGGATTCTGATGATTTGAAATAGCTACTCTGAGGAAAAGGAATTAACAAGGAACACAAGTAGGATTGCTAAACCCCACTTAGGTTTCTCTAATCTCTTTCTCTTCTAGTTCAGTATTTATAGATTAGTCTTCCTAAATGACCACTTTATCTGATTATTCCACTTTTAGGATAACTTAATTGACCTCACTATCTGTTCATTATTTCCTGTCTTGATTAAATAAATCATAGAATCTGAGATTCTATGGCTCACAATGGCTGTTTGGTTTATTTATTTATTTATTTATTGTGCTATCAGATTTCCCGGTTTGTGCAAAATACTTATTACATACTGACCTGAATGACTGGGTAGGTGTTGCTTAGCCTGACATTGAAAATGCTATACAGTCTTACCTCAACCTCTGTTTTTAGTCTCTATAGTCTTTTTTCCTTTTAATTCTCTTTACAGAGTCACTCATTTCAGTCAAGTTGTTTATTCACTATTCTTTTCTTATTATATCTTAAGTTGATATTTTTAACAATCTACTTTTCTTGTTAATATTTTTAATTTTTTAAAACAAAAGTCATATGTGTTCATTGTATGCGCTTTAGCTTTCCAGCAAAATCCTTAAAATGAGAAGTTACTTCTCAAAGGTAATACACAAGATAAATTTCTTTTTTTTTAACATGTGTTTTGTATGGTTTTACAAAATACTGGTACCTGTTGGATAATGTTTTGTTTTGTGAGTAAGCAAACCCATACAATTTTCGTGTTAAATTAGTAAAATGAATTTTTCTTCTAATTCTGTTTACGAAAGTATTTTTGATTCATCTAATACAAGATATCATTAAAATCAATATCAAATATCTTTATACACTTACTGTATATAATCACTAGCTTAATGAATATAGAAATGACAATACCTTGATCCATTTGGAACTTACAGTCTAAAAAAGTTAATGCAAAAATATTTTCCTCCTTTTTAAAAGTTAATCTAGGTCAAGCATCTTTTGAAGCCATGGCATCGATTATAAATCGGCTTCACAAAAACTTGGAAGGAAATCATGACCAGCATGGCAGGAACAGCCTTCTTGCATCATATATCTATTATGTTTTTCGCCTTCCAAATACTTACCCTAATTCACCATCACCAGGTATTTTATTCTTTTTACTTTGAAATCATCTTGCATAGATTGTGTTCATGGCAAATTGAAATAATTTTATGGTCCATAGTGCGATGTGTTTATTCAACAGCAAACATTTATTGAATGACTGCTAAGTGCTATGGATTGTTAGGTGCTAGAGTTAAAAAGATACATTTAAAAGCATCATTACAGGTTACATTAACATTATAGGTTACATTTTAAAGCAGCATTGTTTATACAGCTTCCTTTAAATTGAATTAGAGGGATTTTGGTTGAAGTAATTCTTGGAAATGAACCTTGAAAATAACTTCTTCTGTCTCTGGGAACATTTATCATTCCAGGTTAAGATAAGATAAATAGAATGTTGTATTTGTCATGTGGAGTGCTATTGGATCTTAAAGGAGAAATTTGATGGCTCAGTTGTTCTCTGATTGATAACCCTTTGAAATCTACTATAATATAAAAGATTATTCTCTAGAAAAGTTCTGATCTCTTCATGGTTAACAAAATAATGTAGCCTTTCTGAATATTAATGCTCAAAGTAGCTATCTCCTTTTTATATGACATTGGTGGTAGTGGAAGTTAGTGATGGTGTTACAGTGGGAGGATGTCTTAGTTTGAATGACTTTAGTTGTTCAGTTAGTCATGTTGTTCGTACCTTTCAATCTACTTACATATTTGTCTGTATGAGTCATCATTTATAGCTAAGGATAATGGCAAGTTCCCTTTTCTAGCAATTGGCTATATTAACAATAATGGTGACAAATAATTATGAAATTTATTATGAAAACTGGGCATAATAGTAATCTGACTCTTAAGTTTTAATTCTTTTTATTTCTTTATAATTGCAAAAAGAGAAGTAATTGACTCTTATATTCTAGTTTATAATTTCCTATCTTGATTTTTAAATTATAGTACTTGAGTCTCTGAGTGTGTAACTAATTGATTGTGGACTATATATAATGGTCCTCCATTTACTATTTCATTCATGTTACAATTCCATTTTGGAAAACATCTTTTTTTACATGCTGAGTTGAAAGACTACATTAATTAGTTTACAGGTGTGTGTCATTTGCAAATATAACAGTCAGAAAGATTAATTCAGAAAAATGGAGATAAATTATGGCTATAATTGCTGGCTATTTTCATGTTTGTAGGATATGGTTGAGTGATGGTCAGGCTTGATTTTAGACAAAAAGGGATTCTTCACTTTTTTATATATCCTGGGCTTGTAGGATAATTATCTTTAGTCTTTTTGTATGTATTGTCACAAGATGCCATTTTGTTATAGTTCATTTGTCACTGATGAAGATAGAGAAATAAAACATCGTCTCACTTAAGAGATGTTGACAGTAAATTGGCTCTCCCTCTAGTGACTGTATCAAGGGGCAGAGCAGGAGGGGTGGGAAAAAGGAAGAGACATCAGCTGGAGTATTTTGGGTCCCTGATACTAGATACACCTATATCTAAGTTTAAGGTAATGTGCATGAGCGTATTTCCTATTTTGTTTTTTTTATTTTACATGTAATCTATAATCATAGAAACATTGAAGAGATAATGATTTTACTATAGTTCTAATGATTTTGTCAACTACTGTAAAATAGAACATCTTTGTGTAGCTATCATTAGGCCTTGAGTGTTTTTCTTATAGTATTTTTCATTTAGAAACAAAAGCAGTTCATGATCTTTATGGAATTTTGTAAAGTGGCAGAGATTTTTTTTCCAGGTCCTTTCCTGACTAATTTTCTTTGTTTAATTATCTGCTATTTTACACACAATTCTAGGTCCTGGGGGTTTGGGAGGATCAGTGCATTATGCCACAATGGCTAGATCTGCTGTGAGACCTGCAAGCCTTAATTTAAATCGTTCTCGGAGCCTTAGCAATAGTAATCCAGATATATCTGGGACTCCCACGTCACCAGATGATGAAGTACGGTCAATCATCGGCAGTAAGGTAAACTGAAGATAAGCATCTATAAATTTGGTTTTCATTTATGAAAAAATGAGAAATCTCCAATTATTTAAATTTATTCTTAATTTTAAAATGTATTTGAGTTAGTAATAAGCAAGAATCTGTACATTTCTATTCTATTGGTAAATAACAAAGGGTTTCCGTTACATAAGCTTGTTATTACAAACTGGTTTGTGCACTTTGCTCAAAAAAAACCTGCCAGAAATGAAAGGACACTTGACAGTAATTTGAAGACATACAAAGAGTAACTACATAAGTAAATATAAAAGCCAGTAGTGTTATACTTTTTGTTTATAATGCCTCTTTTTATTATATATTTACTACTTGATTTAAAAGATAAATGTATAAAATATCAATCTATGTTAATGAGTACAAAATGTATAAAGGTGTAATTTGTGGGCTGGTCAAGTGGTTCACTTGGTTAAGAGCGCGAGCTCTGAGCAACGGGATCACCGGTTCGATTCCCACAAGGGCCAGTGAGCTGTGCCCTAGCTGAGCTGCCACTGAGCTGCCAACAGGTCGCAGGATGGCTCACCTGGTGAAAGAACGTGCTCCTAACAACAAGGTTGCCAGTTCAACTCCCCCATGGGATGGTGGGCTATGCCCACCTGCAGCTAAGATTGAACACGGCATCTTGAGCTGAGCTGCCATGAGCTGCCAACGGGCGGCCGGATGGCGACTGGACTTGGAACTGAGCTAGCTGAGCCCTCCACAACTAAGATTGAAGGACAACAACTTGGCTGTTCCCCTTTCCCAATTCCCCAATAAAATCTTAAAAAAAGAAAAAAAGAAATCTGCCAAATTCTAAAATTTGTCCAGGTTTACCAGTCACATATTACTCACTTTTGTCTGTCTCATACGTCATCGTGTGAAAAATGGCTAGAGTGATTTCCTGTAAAATTAAAAGAGACCTGTGTGACTGCTGTGTGGAAGGGACATATCATTGATTCAAAATATGAGTCCTCCTTCTAAAAAAATATCAAGAATAATGATGAGCCTTGATTGGTAATAGAGTTACATTTTCTATGGAAAACTCTATATAAGAAGCACCAGGATTAGAAAAATATTATTTATTTAATGATGGTTAATTATCCCAGACAACAAGGAAGACACCAGCTAGTGTAAGACCTAGCTAAATTTTATTTAAAGCATTCATCTTTATTACCAAAGAAATATACTTACGGAATAAGTAGTTATTATATAAAGTACAAAAATAACCCAGAGTTTAAACAAGCTGGACAAAAGAACAGGAAGACTGAGGCCAAGAAATCACGTCACGTTGTGTTTTGACCAAACCATTTCAAATATATTTTTTGCTATTGGAAAGGATAAAGATATTATTGCTATGGAATTATAGCCAACTTTTCTTTGGCATTTCCAGTCGGATATGAGGAAGAATTACTAAACATTTTCTATGATCTGTGTTTGACCCTTAGCCAGAACTATAATATAATTTGTTTTGTTTTGTTTTAAGATCAAGTTTGGTTTGTTTGTTAGGTAAAATACTTGAACATTGACCAAAAACAGAGCTACTCACATCTATTCATATAGTTACAGAAATTTTATGTTCAGAAGCTTCTAATGAACTGTAAGCATTGCTTATTTTAAAGTAACTTTTAAGTAATTCTTAAAGTAATTTCTCACAGATCAAAAATATATTTTGTAGCCTTAGCCCACATATATTTCCATGTTTAGGAAAAGAACTCAAGTTTTTTATCCTTGTCTTTAGTTTTGATAATTTCTCATTGAAATAGAGATAGTACTTAGCACTATTTCTATATTGTAAAATACAGTTTTTCAGCAGAATGAATCTGATTTGTGAATTTTAAGAAATTTTCCCATTAAAGCGCTATAGATAACCATTTTCTCGAAGGTTCTATTTTTTTAAATGTCTCAATTTCTGTAAGATTTTCACTGGGCCTCATTTAGCATGATTCTAGAGTTTTCCTTTATATGATGTATTTGATCAATTATAACATCAAGATTTAGAACAAAGGTCTACATATATTGGAATTATTTGCCTTTTTTCAGGTAGTCCATAAAATGGGACATATGACATTACTTTTGATGATACATCATGATATATATCAACTTCTAAGAAAGCCATCGTAAGATGAGAATTTATTTTATGACAACACAGCCTTGTACGAATCAAGTTTTATTTAATAGTTTTTATGTTTTCTCTTTTTGTTGCAAAATTTTTGCTAGCTACCTTTATTTTGGACTATCATTTAGTCATAATACCTAATAATAATAGTAGTATAATTTTATCTCATGGAAAAATTGTAAGGAATCTTGAAGTTTATTTAGAGCTGTTCTTTATTTTTTCTGATTTTATTGTCCTAGAAATTTAAGTAACTCTTCTTTAATGATTTTGTCTTTCACCTTGCCTCAGCCATGGTCATAACCTAGATCTTGTCATTGCCAATAACTTTAACCTTCATAATCTCAATGCCATGCATTTTGTTCTCTGACCATTAGCTCCTGTGTTTCTCTTTAGTACTCCAACTCGAACAATTTCCCAACTTCTCTGCAACCTCCAATCACTTGATTCTATGACCTTTATACTGTGCCTTATCCCCTCGATGTTCTTTCTACTAATTTAGCTTATCTTATTGTAAGTTCCATTCTATCATTATAATTATCCCTGGTATAATCAAACTTCAAGTTCCTTATCTTTCTATAATTTCATTTTACTTGCTTAACCAAACTTGAAATCATATTTGAACCCTATTGACTGCCTGTGCCATGTCAGTATATGTAGTTCTGTTTTCCTTTTACTTTCCCATTCTCCCAGAAAAAGGTTTCATGCTGCCTTTTGTTACTTCAAAGCTCCTAACACCTTTCCACCAATCCTCCTCCTCCTCTCCTCTTTATCTCCTGCTTAACTGAGAAAATTGAAGCCATCAGAAGAAAACTTTGGTAGACTTTTACCATCGCAGCATCTACCTACCTACTACCATCTGCTTCCTATAATACTTAATGCTCTGCTATAAATGAGCTATCCATTTCCCTAAACCCACTCCCTCCATTTGTACTAACCTCCCATCGCCTCTCACTTACTCAAGATACTCACTTCAGCAGTTCTTTTCATCTCTCTTCTACATCATCTGTTTCTCCCTGTCTGTTAAATCATCCTATCCACAAACGGGCATGTTATTATTTCTCCTATTTAAAAAAAAAATCTCCCCTGTAATATTTCTGCTGTCAGCTTCTTTGTCATTTTTCTAGAACTTTTTGTAGTAGAATTCTTTAAAAGGGACCTTTAGACGTGCTATGTCTAGTTCTTTTGCTCCTGTCCACTTTACCCCACTTCAATCAGGTATTTCACCCACCTTTCACCTAAACTGCGTTTGTTGATATCATCAGTGCTCTCCCTGTTACCAAATCCAACGGTCAGGTCTCAATACTCAGCTTACTTTCCCTTCTAGAAGCTTTATTTTTTAAAGATTTTATTGGGGAATTGGGGGAGGGGAACAGTGTTAGGGAATTGGGGAAGGGAACAGACAAGTTGCTGTCCTGTTGTTCTTCAATCTAGTTGTGGAGGACTTCACTTCACTGGCCCATATTGGTATTACCATTGCGCTCTTCCCAGGTGAGGCAGTTGCTCGCCGGCCATTGGACGGCCACTCACAGAGGCTCAAGGCAGCTCACAAAAGCTCATGCTCGCTGCCGGCCAGCCCCATTGCAGCCTACACCATCGCCGGCGACTCACAGCAGCCCAGCTCCAGGTCAAGCTGTTGTTCACCATCTTAGCTGTAGAGGGCGCAGTGTCCCTGGCCCTCATGTGGGATCTGAACCTGCTCTGCTGCTCAGAGCTGACATCCCAAGCCAACTCCTAACCAATGCACCACTCGGCCGGCCCTCCAGAAGCTTTTGACAGTTAAATTCTCTTCTTGTTTATTTTCTACTTACTGGGCTTCTTAATCTGGAAGTGCCCGCAAGCTCTATCCTTATTTCTCTTCCCTTCCCTTCTCTTCTTTCTACACATACTTAAATTGGTGATCTTATCAAGTCCCATACTTTTAAATACCATTATGTGCTAATGACTCCCAAAATTATATTTTCAGTAAAAATCTCTCTGGAATTCTAAACTCAGCTGCCTTTTGTAAATCGTTTTGTTTGATTTGCACATGTTAAAGGTAGAGCCATTTATCACCACCTGTACTACTATATATGCTATGTTTTTTCCTATACTGCATACCTTTGATATAGTTTAATTTATAAATTAGGCACAGTAAGAGAGTAACAACAATAACTATTAATAAAATAGAACTATTATAAGAGTATACTGTGATAAAAGTTACGTGAATGTGGTCTGAAAATATTACACTGTACTCACCCTTCTTGTGATGATGTGAGATGATAGAATATTTATGTGATGCGATGAAGTGAGGTGAGTGACATAAGCGTTGTGAGCTAGTGTTAGGCTACTCTAAGGGTGACTTGAACACAAGCACTGTGATACCTCGATAGCTGATCTGAAAAAGGAGACAGCAGCTAAGTGACTAATGGGCAGGTAGCGTATACAGTGTGAATACACCGGACAAAGTTATGATTCACGTCTTGGGTGGTGAAGGAGCCGGACAGCGCAAGATTATGTCATGCTACTGAGAATGCACAACTTAAAACTTATGAATTGTTTATTTCTGAAATTTTTCATTTAATACTTTCGGACCACAGTTGACCATCAGTAATAAACCGCAGAAAGTGAAACCACAAATAAAGGGAGACTACAGTAGTGTCCAGCATACTGAAGATACTCAACAGGCAGCTACCTAGTGAATGATGTCAGTAAGCACTGAGATCTTAAGATCTGGCTTTATGAAAGTTTTAGTTAAACTTACTTCATTCCTTAATACAAAATGCAGAACTCCCAAAATTCAAGAATACTTATATCAGCAGGCTTTTATTACTCTAGTGGCTATAAAACCATTATTTGTGAGACTTTCTTCATAATTATTTTCCAAAACTGATCTATTCTTTCATTGTCCCAGCAATAGTCTTTTAACTCAATTATGTAAATGGTTACATCAGATCTGAATTTTATTGTTTTTAATCAAATGCTAATTCAATTTTACATTGATATATAGTTTCTTGCTAAGGTGTCATCTCCTATTTTTTCATTTTCAAATACTGAGAGCTTACTGTGTGCTAGGCAGTATGATGAAGACTTGTGGATATAAAGCCAAATCTTTGTATTATAACGTTGAGTGTTCGTGTCAAGTCAAATACAATACGGGCCTTGCACAAGGAATGAGCCTATCTGTAGCTAAGGGACAAAATAATATTATAGGGATTTGACAACAAAAACACTTTCGCAAACATGTTTGCATCTTTGATTAACCTGTTCTATGTTAGTTGGAGATCAGTAAACAAAGTTACTACATGAGTAAATATCATTGATGAATTTGTTAACTAAGGCCTGTTTGATATAATTCTTAGCTTTTTAACACCTAATTTATGAAAATTATTTCCTTTACAAATAATTGGCCACAGGTTCTTCTCTAATTAAATATAATTGCTGATGTAATTATAACTGTACAGAGTCTTAGTATTGTGGATTTAATATATAATTGAACAAAGAGATTTATTGTTTATTCTCACATTACTGATTAACATGTACCTTAGTTTTAAAGGAAATTATTAAACAAGGTATTAAAAAGTGAATGAAAGAATTCAGCAAAGTTATTGTTATTCTTTTTATGGAAATTTGTGGTAGAGAGAACACAATTTGTAATTTATGCTTATGTTTTGTTATTTTTGTGGCGTGAGTACTGATTATAAAAATTGAAAATGTCGGGAAGAACTTGACACTTATGTAGTGGAGACATAATTGGAGACTGGTGAAGAATTTTGTTTTAACTTGTTGGGAAAACACTGCATGCTGGTTTGCTTTTATTTGAGATAATATAATGTGGTTCTGAGAAGGCAGGTATTTTATTTTAAACAAATGTACTGATTATATAATTTTACTAGTTGAATATTTTCTAATTTACTTTGCTAGGAAGCATTAAAAAACATGAATGGAAAGTTTTTGTTAAAACTGTTTCTTGAGAGTTTACTATGTTTGAGGCATTGTATTTAATAATGTATTTCCATCATTTAAGTTGCTCTTTACAATATGAGGGAGACACTATCACTATTCCTATTTTATAGCTGAGAAACTGAAAAAGATTATTAGTTGGTAATTTACCTTAGATTTTACAATTTGTAAGCAGTAGAACCAAGATTTGAACTCTCGCCTTATACATTTAGTGTCAAATGTATGGGTGATTATTGTAACATCATTTCAACCTGTTTGTATTTTTGAAAAAAAATAGGTGAAAAAGAACAATAAATTATCTCCCTAAAGCCTAAACTCTTGAAAGCTAGCAGGCTGTCTTCCCCCTTGTCCCCGCCCCCTTTCCCCTCCTTCCCCTTCACTTCTCCCTCCCCAGAATACTCTGATTTAGTTGTTTAGAGGTAGGGCCCTGCCTCTAAGTTTGTGGTTGTTTTTAAGCTTCCCGGGTGATACTGTCTATACAAAGTTAATTAACATTGTTACTACTCTTTTCTTCTACCTATCCTTCTTTTGGCACTTTCTGAATTGGGTCCATGCTCATGCCTTCATCTTTTCAGTCAGCTTCTCTTTGGTTGTCTTCATAAATCTTACACCACCATCCTCTAAAAATTCCTTATAACTTGCTCCAGTTCTAATAGCAGCTTCCTAGGCCCCAGCCCAGATTCCTGAATCAGGATTTCTGGGGGTCGGGCCAAGAATCTAAATTTTATAAAACTTCCCAAATAATTTTAATTATCAGTCAGGTTTGAGAAATTGAAGTAAAGCTCCAGTTCCCTTCACCTGGGGTCATAATAACCTCTTTCAGAGACAGACAGACATAATTCACTTCTGGTCATACATATTAATAGCATATTAAATTAACTTTAAATTAATGATAGTGATGATGAAGATATAATTCCTATAAATACCTCCAGCGTAATGTTTTTCCTTATACTATTTATATAAAATAGCACCCTATTAGGTTTAATTGCAATAAGCACAATAAAACTTAGCACAATCCCAAACTCACCATCATTTTTAGAAAAAAGAAAATATTAGGCATCTGTTTTCTTTTTCTTAATTTTTCCTAACAGTCCCTAAAAGAAAATGAAAGAAGAGGCAAAGTCAAATAGATTTATGAACTATCACTGCGCGGAAGTTTTCAGTTCATGACAGATGGAATGAAATTAAAGTCTTTTAGAAAAGAATGGAATGTTTTCTTCTTCCATTTTGTTTTTAAACTCTAGTTAATATTCAGAAGAGATTATGTGTTGCTAACTTGTACCATCTTTAAAGAGAAATTTGTGGGGCTGATGTTGTGGGAACTTTAGCTGTTGGTACTTCAAGGTGATCCCTTTACATAAAGAGAAATTACCATTTAATGCTATATTTAATGTTCTTGATTTTTAAAACCTCATGTAATAAGACAATTTTGGTGAACTAGTATAGTACTCTATAGGTGCCTTAAAATTTTGGTTGCTTTAACAGTACTAATTTAAAAAAAAATGTTTGCATTGGAAAGTCTGGATTTCTTTAAGAATTATAGCATGCCACATGTAATATTTCTTTCCTTTCCAACTGCTTTCTATTATATGCTTAGGGTTTAGATCGCTCCAATTCCTGGGTTAACACTGGTGGTCCAAAAGCTGCCCCATGGGGATCCAACCCCAGTCCAAGTGCAGAATCAACACAGGTGGTGTTTACATTAGAGGTTTCTTTATTGGCTGCTGATGTTTCCCTTTAGAACATTACTTTTTAGTATATACTATGATTTCAGTGGCTTGCTTTTTTAATCATTAAAAAGTGTGTATTTTTGTTTACTTAGCACATTTTCCAACTACTATGCATGAATACCACCGACTGCACCAGTATTGCTCTGCTTTCCTAGTTCCTGTCTCCTCCTTCCCTCCTTATACACCCTGTCAGTATTTCAGTGCCTGCTGCTTATGCAATTGATGGCTTTGATAACAGTTTCTACTTTAGGGATAGCACATCTTCAGTAGGAATCTAAAAAAAAATTTGTGTGGAAAAAACCTGACAGTTTTCCATTTGCTTTTGGTTTAAAGTGTAGCTATTGTATCATTTTCATTTAGCATTTACTCTCTTGTCATTTTTTTTTTCATAATCACTGACTAGAAATACTGATAATAAGCAGAAAATAAATGTGAACAGTATATGATCCCCATGCTATAAGATTAAATACCAGAAGCAAAAATCCATTTTAATTTGTGCTGTGTTGCAAAGTATGAAATTTGTTATAACTTAGTTAAATTAGGTTTTGCTTACTTAGGTCTAATTGCTTGAGAGCTAATACTGCATGGTACCTCAAAATATGCTTCTCACCTGTGTATTGGCTTTGGAGGAAAATGCTCTGTTCTTGTAGAAAAAATTAATTTCTTGTTTAATATAATTGATTTATATTTGATGTAGTATATGGTATACCTGAATAGTAGTTTTGATAATAGTGAAAAATGAAAGAAATCATTCTAAACTTTTTATTCTTTTTATTGAATATAAAATTCTTGATTTCCTATTTTGGTCTAAAACCAGCTGAGAAGTATGTTTTTACATTTTCTTACTAGATATGTGCATGTATATAGATCACACAAATAAAAGTTTCATTCTTTGCAGCACTCTGAATTTTTATGATTATTAAAATATTCATCTTTTTAAAGAATATAAATATATAGAAGCCATTTTGATATTTCTAATGCATTGTCATTAAAACAATTTAAAATGGTGAAAATGAGATGAGCAATAAAATAGATGGTTGTTGAAACCACAATAATACACTATTTCAAAAATTGAATGTAATCCTTGAGCTGCAAAGTCATCCACAGCAGACTTTAATGTTATCTCGTCATTCATTCATCTTCACTTCATAGGCTATGGATCGAAGTTGTAATCGTATGTCTTCGCACACAGAGACGTCAAGTTTCTTACAAACATTAACGGGACGCTTACCAACTAAAAAGGTAGATTTATATGAAGACAATCCATATAGGGGGAAAATAATTCCAACAATTAAATGGATAAAAAATTTCTTTACATCACCAATATGAGATGTTACAATATTTGCATTGTATTTAAAAATACATTTGAGCAAGCACTGCTTGTCTGATGCCTTTTTGAGCATACCTCTCTAGTGCAGGCTCTTTTACATTATTATAATTATTATAATCTTTGGGATCGACTGTTTTTAGAGTTTAGTAAATTGAAATTTGAGTATCAAATTTTAGTGCCAAAAAATGTTTCAACTCTTAATTCTGTTTCTGTAACTGCTTCTGTTTTGTGTTTTAAATCTCCAGGGAAAGGAAGATGAGTTAGAAAAATTATCACTCTTAGTAAGATATGTTGATTTGCTTCCCTTATGCACAGTTTTGTTAGTCCTTTTTCATATTAATATACACTACTTTGCAAATGCTTTGTATGCATATCCATTACAAGGCAGGAAATTTCTGCCATTTTTATAAAAAGACTTTAAAAACCTGAAAACTTGAAAATTAATGCCTTATATCAAAGTTTAAATTTTTAAACATATTTCCTAAATTGTACCAGCAAAGTTCACTAATGTATTTGCGTAAGTTGAAGTATATGTATAAGACACAGACAAGATTTTATTTGTAACTGAGTTTTTGGTCTAGTTTCTGTTTGCAGGTACAATTTAGGAGGCTGTTTCCCACCTGTCCTTTTAAAATTACATTTTACTGCAAGATAATATGTAATTTTTTCAGCTGTTCAACATGCTACTGTCTTACATGTATAAATAGCCGTTTCGTTAATGGGTGTCCTCACTGCATCATTGAATGGTTCACATGCCTTATTTTGCTTATTCTCATTATATCTTCATTTGCAGTTGCATTATTATTTGGTTTGTGTTATTAACTGACTTGACTTTGAAAATAACTTTGGGTTTACTTCTGGATAGCTTTTTCATGAGGAGCTGGCTTTGCAGTGGGTTGTTTGCAGTGGCAGCGTTCGGGAATCAGCTTTGCAACAAGCCTGGTTCTTTTTTGAGTTAATGGTGAGCAAACTAAACACGTTCCTAATATTGTTTTCCTTAGTGAACACTTGTGTTATCTCATTATTTTATACTAGATATCTTTTTTATCGTCCATCTTATAGTTTTACATATGCCTCCAAGACAAAATTACATTTGTTACATCTGTAAATAAACACTGGACACTCAGCACAATTTAGGTGGAATTATAAAGCTCACTTAATTTTTTTTTTAGGAATGGTTGCAGAAATTAGCTAATTTTTTAAAGAACCTGAGATACATTCTCTTTTAGTCTGAACAGGCTACTGTATAATGCCAGTACTGTAGATTTCATACCAAACATAGATAAAGAGAGCTTTATAGATACCCAGTCTTTTATGGTTAGAAAGCTCTTAGAGATATGCCAGTTACAACAAATTAAAAAATAAAAACAAAAAAGTCTGTCTGCTTAATTCAATAATGATATTAAAAATGAATGAATTAATATTTTAATATTTGCACAAACATAAACACATATACACAAAAGTAATAAACATTTGTCAAGTGGATGCAGTGTAATACAATAGCACTGCCTCAGTGAACTAGTATTACCAAGGCACAGATTGATTAAGTAACTTGTCTAAGTATATACAGTTTGTAGATAGCAGAAATGTGATCCACTTAGGCATTCTGGTGCTAGAGACCTTTTTTTTCAGCCTCTAGAAAGCTGAAATCATTGAAACTTTTTCTTCCAAAAAAGAAGTAAATAAAAAAATAAATAAGAAAAAAAGGAAAACAAAACACGAAGGAAGGAAGGAAAAGAAAAGGGCACTTATAGAGTATGTCATAGGGCCAGTCTCAGTATTGACTGTAACATATGTTGGGGATAAAAAGACATTTCTTCTAGGGATTTACTAATCAAATAAGTAAGGAACCATATTTAAATGATAAGTAACATTTTTTTTTCTTAGAGAATAAACACCAAATTTGTAATTTATGTGCTTTTAATATAAGATCAAAATTGTAATTTTAACTTATTTTTTGATAGTCTTATACACGTATTCAGATTTCTTAAATATAAAATAGTCCAACGGTCAAAAGTCTGCAGCTTAAGACTTAGCTTGGCTTTAATTTCCCTGAATTTAAAATCTTTATTACCATTACCACATTGTTGTGATAAGAATCCATATCCAAAAGCATTTTGTAACCTTAAATCACTTTGTTAATTTTTACCTAATATTTTATTAATATTTAGTTACAATATTTAAGGTACACCTACCATTTGCCACTAGACGCTAGATGCTGAAGACTATAGTGAAGTTAAGGTTTCTAACCTCTCAAAGTTCACAGTTTAGGGATATGAAATGGCAAAATTGTTGAGTCTTGGGAAGATTTAATTTAAAACAGTTTTAAAGAGTGAATTTTTTTCTTTTGATATACACAGAATTTCTTTCCTATTAACAGGATAATTTTATGAAAGGTAATGCAGTGATTAAATTGCATCGTATTTGATATCTTTGGAATACATAAAGTATTGTAGTGAACTGTTCAAAATATTCGAGGAGCTAACAGTATTTCAGCCACATTAAATCACATGGTATATTGAAAAAATAGTCCTATGTTTAGAATTGCTATAACTGTTTATTGCACCTGTAAAAAATTAAACTAATGGCTTATTTTTTCAGGTGAAGAGCATGGTGCACCATTTATACTTCAATGATAAACTTGATGCACCAAGGAAAAGTCGTTTTCCAGAACGTTTCATGGACGACATTAATGCTCTTGTCAGTACAATTGCTAGTGATATAGTTTCACGATTTCAGAAGGTAATGATGACTTAACTTTTTTTTTTTATTATTAAATCTTTTCAAGCTCACATTAAACCCATACTTTTATTTGGTTTTTCTTTTCTGTTTCTCAGGACACAGAAATGGTTGAGAGACTCAACACCAGTCTTGCATTCTTTCTCAATGATCTGTTGTCTGTTATGGACAGAGGATTTGTTTTTAGCCTTATAAAGACCTACTATAAACAGGTAATGCATAATTAGTAATAATTAGTAATCAAAGAACAAATATTGTGTTTGTTCTTTTTACAACTAGAGCTAAAAGACCTTCAAGTACACACTAATATACTAATGTGTAAAAAATAGCATTTTTATTAGTAAGGCAAAAATAAATTATATTTGTTTAATCAGAACACAGGAGTCTGAGTCTAGCAAGCTGATATTAGTACAGCTGGCTTTTCCTTGGGTTATACTGGCCCCCTCATGACTCTTTAATTCCCATTCTGGAGCACCCATCAAGTCAGCGGTCTAACTGTAAAGCACCCCCACGATACCATTTGAGGGTAGCATTTATACCGAATGAACAGCTAACTGAACTATTTGTGTCTTGAGTGATGTTTAAAGCAGCTACACTTTGCTGTGTATTCCTAACGCAGCCCTGGACAATGTAGAATCATGGACAGATGTTTACCCAGTTCCTGAATGTCATTCATTATCTTGCTTTTTCTCAACTAAAAGCATCCTGGGACTTTTTCACAAACAGCTGATTTTGTTTTAAAATTTGTATCAACTGGTTAATGAAACCTGCCTTTTGGAAAACGTTAGTTATTGGTCCTAATAGGCCATTTTGCTAATAAGTTGTGTAATCATACTAGAATTACCTTTTAAAGGAACTTCAAAAATATACAGATCTCTGGGTCCCATCAAAGCATTATTGAGGAGTTTGAATCCTGGTGGTGGGGTTAGGAGAATGGTACACAGTGCTTGTGAAGCACTTCCTAGCAGGTCCACAGATTAGATTTTGGGAACTACTGGATAGGAATGCTATTTGGCAGTCTAATATTTAGAATTTTGAAGATCTGTTGTATTGGATGTCTTTATTGTATGTTTGTTTTAATAGAGAAGTTAAAACTACATGTGGGCACTTACCCACTTGTAAATATTTGCAACAGTATGCATTATTTTTACTTTGTCCCCTGAATTTCATGTACTGTTGCTCCCAAAACCTGTTATGTCTTTATTCTTCAAGCATTGACCTCCTACTTTGCCAAATATTGAGCTAGACCCTAGGGATGCTAAAGCTATTAGATCAGTTTATGTATGTCCTCAAGTAGTTTACAGTATAGCTGGGAAAATAGGCAAGTAGACAGTGATAAATATAGGCTAACACAAAGTACTGTAAAAAGAATGGAAAATTTCCTTGATGAAGTTAATTTGGTGGTGTACTTTTCTTTCATAAAGTGCATCTTAGAGAAGTGGAAATATCGATGCTATATTGGAAATATAAGAATGGATTTTAGCCTAATCGGTGGATTTGTACAGTAAATCTTGTAGTTCAGGTTTTTTTTATGTTAACAGTATTTCTGGAGAAAGCTGATACTGTTGTTTATATCACAGAATCCAAAGCTGCCCACTGAGTACTATTCTTTAATCCTTTATTCTGTTATTCTGGTGTTGGTATTAGAGAAACGATATATTAAATTGGTGTTCTCTGTTTACGCATTGCTCACAAGGTATCTTCAAAGCTTTATTCATTACCAAATCCAAGTGTCCTGGTGTCCTTGAGGTTGGATTTTTTGCGAATCATCTGCAGCCATGAACATTATGTTACATTAAACTTACCCTGCAGCCTGCTAACTCCACCTGCATCACCATCACCTTCTGTTTCTTCTGCAACATCTCAGGTATACAAAGAGTATGAAAAAAATATTTTTCAAGTTTACATTTGTGAAAAGGCATTCTAAACACTGGAAAAATCTGTAAGTAGCACTATTGAATAACAGCTATATGGTAGGCTCTGTACTAAGTGCTTTATAAATGTTAATTATTTAATCCTCAGAGCAACTCTAGCAGGTAAATTCTATTACTATCCTCATTTTACACATGAAAAAATTGAAACAGAAAGGTGAATAACTTACCTAAGGTCACACAGTAAAATGTGGCAGAGCTAGGCTTTGAACCAAAGCACATGTTGGCTTTATTTTTTTTTATATTTTATTTTATTTCAGTTACAGTTGACATACAATCTTATATTAGTTTCAGATGTGCAACATAGTATTAAACATTACATACCTTACAAAGTGATCACCCTAGTAAGTAAGCCTAGTACCCATCCGACACCACACATTGTTACTACATTATTATTGGCTATATCCTTATGCTGTACTTTACATGTTGGCTTTAGAGTCCGAGTTCTTAACGACTGTTGTACTCCTCTTACAGATTTATGCACATGTGAGTACATCACCTACATAAACTCGCTTATTTAGATGTTTTCACAAGTTGGGTTTTCTCGAAGCAGACACAGACTGAGTTTGGGGTGCAAGATGTTTATTAGGAATCAATACTTGTGAGAGGAAGGGGGATGAAGCATAATTTAGCAAAGAAAGAGGTCAGACTGCAAAGGAGGCCTGACAGCTCTGTTTATCTCTCTTGTATCCAAAAAACCCTAAGGAATCTAGATGAATGTTTATAGGTTTTCACTGCATGTCACCTGACTTCAACAGCCAGTAGTTTCTTAAAGATGGGAAAAGGTTAAGATAAAGGTTATTATATATCCCATCATACAGATTGGGATTTTGTGGTTTTAGTATCAAAGAAGCCTGGATTCTCCCTTCTAATGAGACATTATTCTTTCTGCTATATAATTCCTGAGGCAAATAAGCTCCTTCCTTAAGCTCTTAATGTCTAAAGTCAAAGTTGATCTTGACTCTTTTCAATTTTATTTTTGAGATATTTAATTCATAAATGTAATTCCCTAGGATAGCTCAATCTCAGATGCGTGATAAATGAAAATTTTAAATTTCACTTAGAAAACATCAGAGAGCACCCACAACTTTTCACTTTACCTTTGTAGAAAATCTTATGCATCAGCCTATTTCCACATACTTTTACCTAGGTAGCACACACACTTCTTCCTATAATGGATGAGGTTAGTCTTTTGCTTTCTTCCCCTATCCTCTGCCAAAGATGTGGCTACACAGTCAAGGACAAATTAAGCATAAATACAGTTCTAAAACTTTAATAATAAAACACATTTGTTTATACCTAACTCCCTGCTGAACATCTCATTCAGCCAAGAACTTTGTAGAATTTCTTCCATTATTTTGTTCCCCACTTT